AACGCCCTAGACCTTGAGCTGTAAGCTTCGAGCTCTGAGCCCCACACCCTAAACTCCAGACTCCAAACCCTAATCTCTGGATCCCAAATCCGAATTCCTGAGCCCCAAGCCTTAAACTCTGAATCCTGAAGCCAAACTGCGAGAACCTACACGTAGCGACGAGATTAAATCTCCATATCACGCAAGGCTTTTCCCGAAGCTAGTGCTTACAAAAATTCACCACCTCGGGTGACCCGAACACGAAGCCCTGAACCCTGCAGCCCTACTCGGAGGGTCAGGACTTCGCAAGTAGGTTAGTAGGGGTGGCTGGGATTATTAAATAACTGGGGTTAATCTGTGATTTATACGGACTAGGAGTATGCTTACCAAGTCCCTTTGAGTCCAAAGACATTTCAGGATTGTGCAACCAGGAGTCTTGCGTCAGTTTTCCCCAACCCTAGATTCCACAAGCTTATGCGCCACAAAGTCCCAAAACCCTAGCGCTAAAGATTTCAGGGTTTAGGGTCTACATAGAGTTCAGGGGTCAATAGTTTAGGGTTTATACACGGTTTATATGGGGTCTAGTGTTCAGGGAAGCCCCTCAACCGCACCACCGCAGGGCGCGCTTGGGTAAATCGTGGCGAGATTCCGGGAAATGGCCGGGACGACGATGGAAATGGTCACCTGGATGGCTTGTTTAGACAAGGTTTAGGGTTTAGGGATGAGGGATTAGGGTATGGATTCGTGGATGAGGGATTGTGGGTTTAGGGTTCGGGGTTTAGGGTTTAGGTCTAGGGTTTAGGAGCTTAGGTCTAGGGGGGGTTTAGCTGTTTAGGGGTTAGCGGCTTAGGGTTTGGGTTTGAGGGCCTAGGGTTTACTGGCATATGCTTGGGCTTTAGGGGTTTAGGGGCTCAGGGTTTAGGGTTTAGGGGCTTAGGTTTAGGGTTTAGGCGTTTATGTTAAGCATTAGGCTCCCTGGACCAGGAAGGCGGGGGTTGGACCCTCAAGGTTTCAGGGGGCTTTGAGGCCAAAAGGTTAGAGTTTAGGGTTTAGACCTTAAGACCATAGTACCCAAGTGCGATTGATCTACAGGCTATTTTATACTTATTACCATTCTGTTCCTGACTTCTTGGGTCCGATATGTACTACACGGAAGTTTGTTTTGGTATAGGGGGATAGAAAGTGGCTGTATACAGAACAGATGACAAGACCCGCAGCCTGTCAAAACAAAACTACTAACTTGGTTTTGGGCTTGAAGTAGACCCCTGATTAATAAACCACCCTCCCCTGAAGAGGGATTGTAATAGGGTTCCTCATATAAAGGCCCTTAAAAAGAGGAGGTTCATGAATCATGGATCTACATTAGGATTTCGGGCCTTTGGCCCCAACACTGAAGGCTACATAGAAACCAACGATCTTTTGTCTGTGCTCACGGAATTTTTCCTTTGTATTAACAGTGCCTTGCCTGTTTCTGAATAGGGTCATGTTGCTGACCCTAAACCCTAAACCCTAAACCCTAAAACTTTGGATCCTTAAGAAGAGCCTGGCTTTGCAAATTGTATGTGGGCAGAGTAAAGCTGCGATGGAGGAAATCTCCATCCACCGTAAGTTGAACGGGCTGAAATAGGGGATAATTGAGAAGATCCCAGGAGAGCAGCTACAGTAGTAGAATTGTGGGTTAACATGAAAAAGGGCTCATGGTGCCCAATGGGGCCCTGTCATACTCATCTCATTTTGCTTGAACCCTACCCCCTAAACCCTTGAGCCTGAACCCTATGCCCGAAGCCCGCAGCAAAACTAGTTGAACCCCGCACCCGGAACCCTAAACCCCTGCACCCTCAAGCCCCAACTTTCAAAAGCAGTCTGGACCCCGAACACGAAAGCCTGAAGCTCTTCAATGTCTTGAGGTCCTGTACCGTAAGCCCGTGGAGTTATTGTACAATTACAACTACAACTACTGCAGGATTTACTACCTGAACTGGCTGATGTTCTGAGGATTTGGAATCCGTATTCGCATGCGTGTTCTGAACTTGTGGTTGGGTGGGTTAAAGTTGTAACAGCAGAAGCGGGCAGACCTCTTTCATGGCTGTACCAGGGCTGTACTAGTTTGAGCTTTAGCTTATGTCGTACTCCCAAGGGAAAGCAGTTACACTTGCTCCTAGCTTCTCCATGATGAAGGCTACATCGATGACTACAATGGCTTTAACTTTGTGGACTTCAATGGCAACCCTGCGTCTCGTCAGTTGACGGTTTTGGCATGAAATCTGGGAGACTTGGGTTTGAGTGTTTCCTACTACTAGTTCAGGGTTGGGGATTCAAGACGTAGACGTAGAGCGTGGGGGTTTAGACCTCTTTATGCCATCTCTTCTAGGGTCTTTTTAGGGTACCTCCTGTAGCATAGAGAAGATACTAGACACACATCCTAAGAGAGGGATAGGGCAGGCAGCTTCATTTCAGAGCCTAGGGATTATCTCGTTCATATGTTGCGCAACTTGTGGCGCTACAACCCCCATAGATTGCCCATGTCGTTGTTTTCGAGAGCCCAATTGTCCATGACTTCCTCCTGGAGAGACTTCATCCCTTTACCCAAGGGGTCCATTTAGGAGGACAGAAAATGCTTAGGGCCCAAAGGCTTTCCCATATGCCTGCTTTGAGGCCCAAGTATATATTATATGGCTACGTGGACCTTTTGACTTCATGAACTTCTCAGTTCCTATCAAGGCCCATTTCGTGTTCCCCAAATCCCTGACGTGGGTATTTCCCTCAAAAAAGCGGCCCGAAATCCTAAACCCTGAACCCTAAACCCCAAAGCCTAAACCCTAAACCTGAAACCTTAAACCCTAAACTTTAAACCCTAGATGCAACATGCCAGGGATCCTTGGAAAAGGTTCCCCCCGCCACAAAAGGAAATGGCTACCCTGAGTTCCAAAGCAGCCCTTTAGGGGGAAAGCACAGAGAAGGGTACCTATTCCACGAATTCCTGATATCTTGCATTCAGGGTTTTGAGTTTAGGGCTGCGGGCCTAGCTAGTGTTTACCAGGAATTTCTTGACCATATTTTTTACTAAGCCCTAAACTCAAAATCCTAACCCTAAACCTTAAACTCAAACCTTAAACCCCAAACCTTAAACCTTGAAACCCTAGAGATCCAGAGCAGATTCAAGTTAGATTGGACCAGGTGCAAACAGGGAGACCCCAATATGGACCCCAAAATACTATAATCCTTATTATGGGGACCCCCAAAATGGTACCCCTATTTTTCGGAATCAAGGCTAAGTATCTTGGCTTAACGTTTAGGATTTTTCA